ATCGATTCCCTGCTGAGACTTTTTGTTTTAAAATGAAAACACAGTCAACTATTTAAATGTATGATTTTGAAAGCAAAACCTGTATAATCACAATGGCTGCATCCTTGTCTATGAGCTCATTATACTCGTGACAAGCCAGACTCTGCGACATATGAAATCCACAAAATTAGTTGTTACTGTGAGCAAGACAAATAGAGAAAATGATTTAAGATTCGAGAAAAACCTGAACACAATTTGGGCAACCTGTTTCCCCCGAGCAATGGCAAGATGTGAGAAGTTCCAGTGCAGCCTCTAAAAGCTCCGTAAAATAAGGTTGAATCTACAAGTCATCCACGCATTTCAAGTTAGTAGTAAGCAAACATTAAAATTCCGTAAGTCAATCTTAAGCTTTCACTATCAAAATGATTATCTAATGTCCAATAGCTACTATACAGGTGATCAATTTCCCTAGAAAAGAGATCATCACATTCTCCAAGTTGGAGTCATTTCAGAAGGTGGATGTGTAGAAAGTGAAAAAACTAAATCCCATTCAACATAAGATCTTACTTTTTACCTAAAATATAAAACTCCATAAATAAATAAAACTAATGTGCTATAATTTCTTGTCATATCACCTGTATTGAGACGCCAGTTCCTCCAGGATGCTGATCATACAATAGAATTCTTGCAGGAAAAAACCGCGTTTCGTGAGGGTTCGGGCACTCTGGAGACAAGTCAGAATAATTGCATCTTATATATCTACATTTAGAGGATATAGAGGAGTCAGAGGGACAACCAATTATGAACATACAGGAAACAAAAGATGACAACTTCATGGACAAGAACACACTGAACAGAAACTAAAACATTGGAACAGTCATTAGTTAAATGTTGTAAATGTAATAAATATATCTCTAAAACAGGCAGGCTCCAGTTGATTTATATTCCAACGGCTGAAGGCAAAAGATCAGATAGGCAGCAGCTTAAAAACTTACAATGGTACTACATGGAGAAGAGCATGAGATGCTGCATGCAATCCGGAGCGGAATGAAAAGTTTTTCTCCACTGCAGTTTTGATTGATTGTGAAACTTGAATCCAAACTGCCTATGCATGTGCAGAACAAATATATTTAAACAAGGTCAATGCATATCACAAGATCAGGGACAAAAACAGCCATTAAAGAACAATGAAAACTAACAGGTGTGTTAACAATGTGCACATGAGCACCTGTGATTCATATGAATATTTAGGCAGTGACAGTTCAATGGTATCAAAGATCTCATTGCTTCCTTTCCGTATACGGTGAAAGCCAAACCAAGTCGTGGTTACGTTGCATGTCTGTGCTTGGGCTGTTGTTCTTGAGAGTGGGTTTTTTGAAAGCTTTAATGGATAAGCCTAACCATAAACATGAAAAACATGCATGAATTAAAAGCATCAATGCACTTAAAGAAACCATAACACTGTCTCTCTTGTCCATTCAACACTGCTTTTTAACTCTTTCGTTACTCAAACTCAAGAAAAGCTGGACTTGAACTCGTTAACAATTTATCAAAACCCTCAGATGAACCTCAATGCAGAGTAAAAATATGCATAACACTTGTTTATGTAAGCCATAAAAAGGACAACCAGACATAATTTAGGTATAAAAGAGCCTGACATACAATATTACCACCAACGACATGAATATCTGTGTAATCACGAGTCTTAGTGTAATATTCCATGTTAGCTCTTTGGCACAAAGCAATCTTTCCTTTTGTGTCCAAGTCCTTGACCAGGTAAGTCTTCCCTTGATGCATGTAAACAGCACCTTCATAAACCTGAATCAAACGATTATTGATGATGAGAAGATGAAAATGAATCAAATGGTTTTTAATATGTTCAATATGTAAAAGATAATCATGGAACGAGCAAATTTGTGGACAAACTGGTACTACAATGTCCACCGTACTAGTTTCAAGTGAAAAATCATAATGCATATGAGAATTTGTAACTTTACTACCTGGAAAAAAGCTTTGCTTTCCTCAATCTCTTCAAGGACGTCATCCTTATGGATATCTATTACCTTATATCTCACAGCTTCTATTGCTCGAATGCTAACTGCGTGTGAAGGCATTTTCTTCGAAAAAGGAAAAGGGAAAATGCGATTCAGGGAGGAACATATACTGCATTAGCATAAGTTTTTTGAATGAAAACAGAGATCTGGGAATAGTAGTACCTCTTGTCCAATGTAACTCCATATTCTAGCAGAAGAATCGCGTGATGGATCGCAATTCACATATCCCCTTTTTGTAAGATTCATAATGGCACTGTTTAAACCAGGCCCAAAATATTTCTCATCGTACTGCAAACTCAGCGGATGCTCAAGAGCAGCACAGACCAAATGCTGTTCAACCACCTAGAAAGAATGCAGCATCTAAATAGGTAAGTGTAAGTGTGACGAATTCAAAATTAATGAGTCTATCACAGAAAAGTCCAACCTGTTGGTTTTGAGCATCAATATGACAACATTCAATTGGGCTGCTAAAAAGTTTTCTAGGACATCTCATAAAATATTGATCGAGTGGCCCTCCGAATGCAACATACACGGCAAGAGATGGCTTTTCTCGCCTACCGGACCTCCCAGCTTGTTGCCAAAAGCTAAATACAGAACAAAATTACCCATTCATTTCTACAACTAGTTTCTTTATGTACATATATAAAAGAAAGAAAAGAATTGATCAAGTATTTTACCTGGCAATACTACCAGGAAAGCCTAAATGCAAGGTCACATCAATATGACCAACATCAATACCCAATTCAAGGGCATTTGTTGCAGCAATACCACAAAGCTTTCCTCCAAATAAATCACTCTCTATTCTCCTCCGGTCCTGCTCTAACAGTTGGCTAAAATCAGCTGATATTTGCAAATAAAACAAAAAACAACCACAAAGATCAAAGCACATTTAAATTTTAACATGTTTGTTTAAATCATGTAACATCTTCAGAAATCAAATGTCCCACAGATACAGAGCAGCAGAAGTTTGTGTGGTGAAAAGTACAAATACATGGCATTTAATTTAAAACACTATTAAAACAAGATATGTACAAGTTAATATTCTAGGAATAAAGGAAAATTCAAATTTAGGCTAACAAATGCCACAAACTTTGGATTAAAAAGCTTCAGACTCTAAGTTACCAAATGAGGCTCATGATTTCCAGCCATCATACAGACTTTGCTTTTCAGCCCAAACAAGATCTCAAGACTAAAATGTAGGGGGAGACAAAAGTTAAGCTAAGAAATATTTTGTTCAAAGAATATTCTCTTAATGTGGTATCCGCTTCTACTACTACTGGAAATAAAAATTTGAGTGACCACTTACAAGTCCACTAATAATAATGAAAGGATATGCCACATAAACATATAGCTATTACACAAAATCAGCCATTGGTAACTAAGTCGATAGGATGAGATATGCTCCAGCAAATTGAAAGGAACAAAGTAAAGACAATGCCATCAAGACAAGATAGATCCCAATCTTTTTGCAATGTGAACAAAGACTTCCCTACAGAACTCATGGGCCTAAGAGAAGCAATGAACACCACTCCATCCCAAAGTACTAACTGACAGAGACCATTCTTGAAAACTTAGCATTCATCACTTTTGAAGGATCCATTATGTGGGGGTAGTATCTTTTAAGCAAATAGTTCTTCATGTCACCATTAACCTAACACTACAAAAGTTAGCATGGAGATTAGGCAAAGGTAAAATATCATCTAGAAATTAAGTGATTATGCTTTCATGCACTAAACCATACCATCCATGAAATGATAACTTGACTGTAGGCATCTGTCTATTAAAGAATTTGATCTAGGCGTTTATTTGATTGTTTCCTAATAGTATCCGACCACCACTGGGATTTGAAACTATAGTCAATGCTTTTGCCAACTTTTAGATAGATCAGCAAAATGAAAGTAAAAAAACAAGCAGAGACTTTAAGTACTGCTAAAGGTTGATTAGAAAAGAAGGACAAGTAACAAAAATACGCAAGAGTATTCAATAATGCACCAGGTCTACGCAATAATTGGAACCTATTATGAAATGCCTTCGACGCTAAGTAGCAAGGCATTCATTTAGGTGCTCCAGGTTCAACCACTACATGGATTAGAGTTGAGTTTAGGGATTTGTTTTGAAGGTGGAAAACGAGCCTAGAGAATCAACTTTTAACATCTTTAATAAAAGTAATTAGTACAAAGTGCCAAAGAGAAAAGTGTTCTTTAACATTTTGAAGGTGCTCCAGGTTCATGTAGCGGTAGAGTTTACAATTTATTTTGAAGGTGAAAAATGGGCCTAGAGACTCAACCTTAACATCTATACTAAAAGTAATTAGTAAAATGTGCCCAACAGAAAAGCAGACCTCAGCAACATAGCCACCACGGTATGCACTTATAGAGTCCACGAGGTGAGGAGCTGTCTTCTCAAGAATCTCACGCCTATCAAAAAAATGTACTTTAGACTAGATCCCGTTACTATGCAAAAAGTTGACAAAAGTTATCGAACATGACATACGCATAACATAACACCAGCTCACAGAGTTTACGCGATCTACAAAAAGCAATGCAGCGAAGACCATGCTGAACCATTTCTGCAAAGAGGTATGAAACTTCTGAAATAGGACTGAAAAGAGATAAACATAGTAAGGCATTATCTCCAGTTGATGAACAAGATAAACTTAATTAAATAAAACTGAAAAATTTATAACTAGAATTCCACTAATAATACCTTGAATTTCTACATGCAGCAGTATCACTAGCATCCATGTCATTCTGAGTTCCGTCCCACACCTGTAATCTAGTAGGTTTAGCAAAAAGGGGGACATACAATATCTGCTCATATAATTGTAACTTACAGAAAACCATGAAATCTGCCAAACACCTACACTTTTCAAACATGAAAAAGGGTTCCAAAGAACAAAAAGCTTTTGTGAAGAAGGACTTCCATCATTTTCAATCAGTTCAAGCTCTGATAGATTTGCAAGTTCCTGAAGAATCACAAAATAAAGTCTTAATCCATAAAGACAATGATTTTATCATCAAGTGCCACCACGCATACATGATTACCATACATGATTAGAAAAATTACTATGTAACACCTTTGCAAGTGTCAAATTCTGTTTCCTGCTTAGTGCTTTACAAGGCTGTTTCACCAAAGAGCCAGGAGATATAGGTGAACCAACCCACAAAACAAAGAAAAAGCAAAGACCCTAACTAAGGAACTCTACCAGTAAAAATTAACCCTAAGTTTCTCAGGTTAGAGACAATGGAAGTGACACGAGAAAGGATGAAATCTAATTTAGAACATGCACCAAGCAGGTGCCATTATTTAAGGTAAAATAACACCTGCAGCAAGCCCAGTTTTATGTTTTGTTAGGCACTTGTTTGGAAATTTGTAGTTACCAGGTGCACAACCTCTCTCTTTTCATTCAGCATAAGGAACCACAGCTTATATATAACAAAGAGACATGGATCCAAAGATAACTATACAATCTGTTATTCTATGAAAATGAAAGAAGAGGAACAAAAGTGCAGAAAAGCAGCATCATAAGATGTTTGAGGATAAGACATCTCCATTATGCTAGTACGAACAATATTATTAATGTCAATCGGCCTCTTGAAAGCTTACCATGCAATGTTCACGGGGATTAGCAGAAGTTGCAGTGCAAAAGATGAAAGAAGGATCACTACCATAAACTGCAGAGTTCAGCTTTATCCATGTCAAGGTTACACCAAAAAGAATAATTAATAAAGAGCCTAATCTTCTGCGACCATGTAATAAATTATACCATGAGAGCAGAGTCGGCGAAATCTTCTTAGGATTAGAGCAGTATGGCACCCAAATGCTCCCTTATAAGCATGAGCTTCGTCAATCACTAAGTACCTAGATATAATAATGAAGATAACCTTTAATTGCACAGTAAAGCAGACTTTGAATCCAAAACAAACAAATAAGAAATTTTCCTTAGGTAAAAAGATTACACTAGTCCAAGTGATAGTACCTAATATTTGATAAAATTCGGCTAAATTGTCCATGAAAAGGCAAGATTGACATGTGCAGCATATCTGGATTTGTGATCAACTGCACATAGGATGAAAAAATTTTAAAAATAAAATTGAATAAGGAGTCCAACTGAATTTTGAGAAATATAGGATATTTATTCAAGACAATTAAATTGCAAAAGTACCACTCTAGCATTATCACGTAGCCACATCCTGTCTCTATAAGAAGTATCGCCATCATATACTCCAATATTTATGCTTGAATCAAATTGTTTCGTCATAGCTAGCAAAGCTCTTAGTTGGTCTTGAGCTAAGGCCTACATTCAATTCATGAGTAATTGGTACTACATGATGATAGTCAAGAATTGTAAAAGGAAAAATCTACATGTAGAGATGCCAAACTCCAAGAAGGCATTTGCACAAAAGAAAAAAGACGAAAGAATTGACACCAAAGATAATGAAATTTAAACAAACGGAAGCCTAACCCCTGCCAAAGCATAACCTTTGTTGGAAACAAGTAAAGAGCACATGATGACAAGTTCTGCGACAATTCTTCCAGGACTGGCACATTGTAGCAAAGAGATTTCCCACTAGACGTCATAGTTGCAACGACAACATTCTTCCCAGCAAGGGATGCCATTATTGACTCTGTCTGGAACATAACAATAGTTCCAACCAATTAAAAATATTCTTGGCTTCAAATGGATATGGCATAACAAGACACCCTTACCTGGTGGATATAGAATTTATCAATTCCAACATTTTTCAGTACGGATTTTGTCTTATCTGAGAGTCTCTCTGGCATCTCTTTGTAAATAGCTTTTCTGGCATCAATATCTTCAACATGCACCATCTGCATCAAACAAACTTCCATGACTCAGGACATTTATTTAAGTAATGATAAAAGAAAATTCAATACTAGAGACATCTATACAACTATGGTGCCGAATGTCATTATATTGTATACAGAAATATGTAGGTGTTTATAAAACATTTTAGTATAGTCACCACCTCCAGAGAAATCTATTTCATAGTAATAATATATTCTATTGAAACCAATGTGGAAAACAAAGAAGTAACCTGTCCTTTGGATCCAGTGCCATTCCTGAGATGCTCTATCATCTCCAGTGGTTGCAGTTCATCTGTCCGCTGCAAAATTGAAGAAATATTATAATGATACAGTCTAAAGTTTCATATAGCCTGATAAATATCTTAGACTTTAAAGTGGTATATTACAGAGAAAAGGTTTCAATCAGAATGAAAATAAAGAAAGAAAATATTCAATTGATCCTTTTGCTTGGAGAGTATTTCAAAGTGCCTTTGCACAAACCACTCGAAAGAGCAGTACTAGAATTATCAGAATTACAGCAAAAGGGGGACAAATTTCTTGCAGATCACTACTCTATAGGAGAGCCAATGAGATGGACACCTTTATTCTAGGGCTTTCAATTCTAAATGTAATCCCTAGTCAGAACATAATAAGCATGTACAAGCATACGCATAGCCATATTCCCAAAGACATCATAATAGCAGAAAAAGTTTGATATTGACATTTAAATCATGTGGAATATGACAAGCAATGCAATGGAACCTTACAAGGCACCAAAACCACATAACTAGTAGAGTTACAATCTGCACCATATTATAAATGTCGGAGAAAGAACTTTGGTCAACCGGTGTTTCCTCTGCAAATGCAACACTGAAAGCTGCAACGATATTCTGTTATGGTGCCCTTCTCTACAGATTTATGGAATATGATCTATAGATTGATGCGTATTAACTCGATAATGACAGGCTCTATTCATAAAGAACTTTTGGCTTGGGAAAGTCTACTTTCTTACAACAAACCTGCTTGCCTTATCCCCCTCTCTATTTTTTGGATTTTGTGGAAAGAGAGGAACAACTGTGCTTTTGAGGGCATTTAAAATACTCTTGTAAATATTAGAGATAGATAGTTACACTATTTTGGCTCTTTACTCTTGGGTCACAATTTACTATCTTTAGAAGATATTGGAGCAGTTGTTGATCTGCTATTTGACATATAACATCCTTTTATATATTGGGCGGTACTCCCTTGGTACCTTTTAATTCGAATCTTCTTTTATTTTAAAAAATAAATAAATAAATAAATGTTAAAGTCACTGAACAAGAGAATATGAAAGCAAATGCCTACATGACATCGGTATTGAACTGAACGAGAACTCGATCTAGAAAACTTGCTACCCCTTGCTCGTTTAGCTTCATTTCCTCTGATGACTGTACCACCTTCCTTCACAAAATTGAGCAGATCCTCCAAGCAAAATATTATGGTCCTCCCATTTTTGCTTTTCTGCATCAGACACATTCCACGTATCCATCAATCATCTATACACATCTGAGATTTGTCAGATGTGGAACCATCATTTCTTTTTTCTTTCAGTTTTTTAATTTTCTCTTTAAAATTACTCTTTTTGTAATTTCAGTATGCCTCACAAATAAAAGAAAATGAGACGTTGCAATGGAGATAACTAAGTGCGTCAAGATATCAAAACACTTTTTTTTTTCAGTTTCATACTCCATGTAATATGCAAACTTCTTGAAGATGTAAATATTAAGACATCCAAAAGTTCATGATAACAAATTTTAGTATAAACCTATTCTTTGATATAAGAATCCACTTTACAAGTTGTCATTTACTGTAATGACTTGTATCCTTGAATGACAGAAAGTGACTAGATTCTCTCTTGCGTTACTTGGATATAAAGTTGAATACCATGCACAAAATTGTCAGGATCAGGAACTTATATTGGATACTTTAACCTCCCTAGGAGAAATGGAAGGATCACAAAGTACATGATGAAGATAAGATATCTTTATGCCAGAGAACAGAAAAAAAAAGAAGGAACAAAGAGGACATAGAAGAAGCATTAATAGACAGTAGTGTCCAATCCTTTTGCTAAGTGGATAATAAGGACACTTCTCTGAAGAAACCATTGGCTTGGTGCAAAAAGAAGAACTCCAAAGGAACCTGAATTGACTAGCATTGTCCTAAGATAGCCCACCCATAGTACAATATGCTCCTTAAATCTCCCAAAGCCATGCAACGATACAAAAACATCTCCGACTCAGGACACCTTCATATCCCAAATATGGAAAACAACCTCATATAAATCCTTCAAATCATCAGAAATTACAAAACAGGGGATTATTAAATTTGGAATAATTCTAACCGCACAAAGTGGTATCTAGAGACAACTTTGTGAGGCTTGCAAGCTTGAAGCAAATCGTCGTTGTTAATCTTGTTCGGGTGTATGATCCAAACAAAAGTTTTAACCTTATAGAGAGCTTTCACTTTCCATGAAGAGGGAAATAAGACAAAATAATGACTAAGAGGACAATGTGTAAGAAAGGATTTAGAAGAAAGAACCAAGGTAAACCAGATATTGTTCCTTGTGCAAAAACTAAAAGAAAGAAACCTACAACTAAGAAAAATATGCGAGTTTGAAACTTGCAGTATTGCCAGAGGTGAGAAAAGAACTAAAGAAAACCTACACGAATTCCATCCAAGAAAAAGAAGCCTGAAAAGATTAAACATACCGTTAATAATTTAACGGCCTCCCATAAATTAGTCTTGAATGAACTTTCTCGTTTCTTCATTGCACTAAATATCTTTGTTAATGACATGCCTTTTTGACCTATGAATCAGAGGGGAAAACCAGTAAGGATCTTAGCCTTGAAGCTAGGACACTGTTAAGAAAGCATACACAGCATTGAAGATACCCTTTCTAGAATGCTCTTCAACTTCATCTTTCTCTTTTTCTGAAGAATCAATTATAACAATGGCCTCAGAAAAGCCCATATTTGCTGTATCGTTGTTAGCAAAGCGTACAACCTGCAGAAGATGAAAAAAATATATAATTAGGTCAAGAAAATAAAATAATGAATCTAAACATAGTCATCATAATAGAACATTTTGAGAAATAAGGGGAAAGAAAAGCTGAAATATTATATATCTATATATATTAGATCTCAGAAAGTACAATTTTGTCATGTGAGATCAAAATATTGAAAGAGAAAAGGCGGTTCTTTTCTGGATATGCACTAACTAATAGTAATTATAACATTTTATGGCTATATAGTATAAGCAAGTGGAGTCAAATGTGCATGAGACTTTCAAAATGACAAAACAATATTCCTCAGTCCTAACTTGAGCTCCTTAAACAACACCAGCTGAGATATCTAAATAACAAAATCCACGTATACGATGTCCTCAATCATGGTTGGGTTTGCACGAGTTATCTCAAATGCATTTCCAAATCTCATGAAACAGAAATTTGGCCTACCCAGATTCTACAAAAAATAAAAACAGCCATGAATAAAAATGTAAAACTATATAGTGCAGAATAATGGCAACTCCTAGAATAATGACCTAAGTGAAAAATGTAAATTTTTCGCCACTATACTCTATAATATTTACCATGTCAAAAGTTGGAAATAGCATCTCAATATATGAAATACTCTAAAACTTCAGTAGGAAGTTACTGAATAGCAACTTCAAAAAGCCAACCATCTACCTTAGGACAAATAAGCGCAAGATGCTCTACGTCCTTAATGCCAACTTGAACTCCAAATTCTCCTAGTTGGTTCAGGACTCCATTCAAACGAGACAAGGTGATTTTTTTGCTCCCCAGTTGAAGAAACCCATTAAAAAGGCTTAGGAAAGTGAATGCTTCCATAATTTTTTTCAACCATACTGGACATGAGCATGGATTGCCAGTGTCTCTCTGCAGTGCCCCATCACCACAATGCATATTTGCTTCTCTTAACAGGCATCGCCCAGATTGCGGAGATGACAAACAACTAACAGATTCTAAAACCTCAACAATCTTTTGAGAGTTTTGGCCCCCAAATGCATCATTCTCAGGAGATATGAATACACTCCACAAAAACTCATATGGGCCTCCCACTTGATTGCCACAATCATCAACCCGTTTGCGCTTCTTCTCTACAGAATGAGAAAATGATCTCTCCTTATCAACCCCCTTATCACTATCCTTACCGCCATCCTCGGTTAAAGATTGAAATTCTTGCATCATATCAGAATATGCTGAATCAGCAAAGCTTGAGATTGAGGTTTGTTTGCGTAAGTTCTGGGGTCTCTCTGTGAAATTAGGTTTCTGGGTCTCAGGACGTTCTTTCTTAGTGAATGGAACCATAACAAAGAATTCACCATCCTCAATTGAGAGACAACTTATCGTACTCCGCAAGTCCAATTTAGCACCCTAATGCAGCAATTTCACCATAACAATTATCATAATGTCAGTACCTTAAAAAATCTGACAATGCATGTACATACATATATGTGTCTCTGTGTGCGTGTATGTGTGTGTGTGTGTGTATATATGCATGCATGTGTATGTTTATATACGGATATAAACGTGGGGGGAATATAATAGAAGCACAAGAGCACAGAAGAACCAGAATAAGACCTTAGACTGTGAAATAAAACACAGGGAATGAAATTCTTTCAGACAAAACAAAGCAGAGGAAGTGAAATTAAAGTTGGAAATTCGAAAACTGTACCTTGAAAAAGAGGTGGAAACTGGGGGAGGAGGAGGCGGGAGGGAAAGAGAGCTTCAAGAGAAGCTTAAGTTCGTGAATAGTTTTGTTGGGGGAAATGCGAATGGCGGTGGATTCACCCGTAAGTGTACGGACGTGAATCTCCATGTCTGTGTTGCTACTGCTACTACTCGCACTTTCCATTTCATTTCCTTCTCTCTCTACCCTCTGCTGGCTCTGCTACAGCAACCGGACAGACAGGAAGCAGGGGATCGTTTCGGTGTTCCTTGGCTTTGGCACCGAACTGGAACTGAAACGCGGGCAATAAAACTAGTGAATACATTTCAATTAGGCCGGCTTGAACAGGGCAGTTTGAACCGGGTTGGATACGAACAGATTGAAGTCCCGGCCCGTTGCAGGCCGAGCTGATCCAGCCAAGTCAAATCGGGACGGTCGGTTTGATTGAAGCCAAGCCAGCCCGTGAAGCGTCCTAGTACTCGTAGCTTTTTCACCATTTGAATCGATGCAATTTATCAGCCAAGCCAAATAACTGAATCGTGGTGTTTGAGGCAGAGAGTAGAGACCGCAGACATGGTGACGTTGGTGGTAGCAACCACTACAGACCCTGCCTCCATAGGTCCAGCCTCTGCTCTATTAGCCATGCCTGGTTGGCATCCAGGTCCGCCTCTCCAGGTCGGTCTCCCTCTCCCCTTACCTTCACAAACAATTCAAAATTTTCAAATTTTATCTCACTTATTCTGCAACCATGGTTGTTGATTAGGATGCAACGAGCTTCGTGAACGGGGAGGTGAGGTTATTGAAGCTCGAAAGCCGCCTCGTCAACCAGAACCACCTGGACAAGCGTTGGGAGGAGGAAACCGGCGAGTCCGTTTACGACGTCGTATTCCTCAGCAGGCACGTTGCGTCCTCTGAACGCCCTGCTCTCACCATTCACCCTATTGGTGATAGAAATAAACTCTATTCTTGTTGTGGAGTTCATTCAAATGATGAATGCAGTAAAAATGCGTGATACATTTTGCAATTTGATGGGCAGGAACGCCGCATTTGAGTGAAGGTGAGGCTCTTCCTGCCGGCGGGAAGCCTGGGTGGGCGGCACCTCCGAACCCGAGGATAGGGCCGTGGTTGAGGCTTTTGAGAACCATCACTCAGTCGCATAACTTAACGCCTGAATTTGAGGTATCGCTGAGTTTTTGATTGTTAGAAAAGGGGCTTCACTGATTGCTGCTATTTGGCTTTATAATTATAGTGATACTTGTGAATGCTGTTATCCATTTGTATGCTACCATTAAATTCTGTGAAGCACATTAACAAGCATTAGATGTAATGTAAGTATAGGCAATCTCCTATACTAACCTTGGAGAATCTAAGCTATCCAGTTGACCTATATATGTTGCCATTATTTATTTCCTTTGGATTATCTTTAAACCACTTATTCTCCGTTGTATACATCTCACAGCTCTTTTTCGCCGATATTTATTTGTTCCCCATGCACATATGATAACCCTTTTTGGATACTGGAATATCCAAAACATCTATCCATAATCTGAAGTTTGCTTCAGAAATGTGTTTTCTTGTGACATTTGATCTTTATTTTTGCTTTCTGATGTGCAATGTCTATAAAATGCTTGTAAACAATCCCTGCTCCTCGGTTTTCTCATGTTTTAGGTCACATTGGAAGCAACTCATCATGGACCTGAAATAAATTCACCAACCATGTTTGTTGAAATTGGTAATTTTCTAACGACTACTTATTTCATCTCATCATTCCAGGATGACATTTTTGTTTACTATTGGCTGATCTCACTACAACATAATATGTTGCTATTGAGTAGCAGTATATTCTGTTGAATTGATGTTTCATTTCACCCGTCATATAACTTGCTTAATATTTTACAAACTGTCTTATTTTCTCAAGGTAGCACTGAGGAGTACTGGAAGAGGCAGGATGCTGCCCAAGCTATTGCTTTAGTGGGTATTATTTGTGAACTTGGACTCATTTGTCTTCACCTCTCTGTTTAAACACCTACTCTTTGTTTGTGGTCTGTGGTTTTCTCCTTAATCTCTCAGTATGTGTAGTTTGACACAAATCATTTCTTATGGTCGTTGAGTAAGGCAACAATGAAATTTTTATTGTTTGTCCAGAAGGGTGAATATACATTTACTGATGCAGCCTTGGCTACTCCCGAGTAATTTCTCAATACTGCCTGTGCCCTTTTTTTGGGGTATTAGTAAAATTTTTAAAGTATAACTGATTGAAATACTTGTAATAGCGAATTTCAGAGACTTCTCGATAAATATTCGTATTGTGGGTCATTGATTCCTAACCACATAATATGTAACACCCAAATTTAATTTTAATGTAATTTAAAATTAATTTATAAATATAATTTTTTATTTTTTATTTTTAATTTAGTGTAAAAATGAAGAAAATTTTATAGAGGATGAAATTGAAAACAATTTTGAAAAAAATAGGTGAAAATTTAGGTTTTGGGGATATTTTTGAAAGAAAAATTGAAAAGTAGAGGTGAAAATGTAATTTAAGGAAGTTGTGCTACATGGGATGCCCGGTCAGCAACCCCGACAAATCAGGACGCGTCGCGTGGCAACAGACATTGACGCGGTGCCACGCGGACGATCCACGTGCCCGCGATCGAACAGTCCAGATTCACCCCTGCGCGCACGAACGACTCGAATGTGTTCTCTCCCCAAACACGATCAAACGGTCAGATTTAAACGCGATGGACAACTCAGATTCGTTCCCTATTTAAACGCGATCGAACGATCTAGATTAGATTGCGATGGACGGTACAGATTCACTCTCTATAACCCTAGCCGCCAGACCCCCCTCGCCGGAAAAGAAGACCCAGCTGCCAGGAAGGAGGTTGCCGCCACCCCCTGCCGCGCCGGAGCCCTTTCCGACTGCCAAAAGAGGTAAAAAAAAATTTTTACTCAGAATTCAATTTTAAACATTCCCATGGACAAATCGAAACAAAAGGACCGACGGATTGGTCAGAAACCGCGGATAAAGCTCAGCGGCACCGCCATGGGGAATTGCAAAAACAGCCTCCGATTTTTCTACCATTATGATCACCGTTTCCTTCTCTATAGGTTGACCGGAGCAAAACACTCAACTGCAAAGTGAGCCGACGGAGCCACCACACCGGAGAGCCCTGTCGATGGCGAGTTTCGGTTTTCCATTTTTTTGGCCAATTGAGCCTCCTTAACGTGTGTTTTCTCGCAGGGATTGATACAAAATCGGTCAAAAACAGCCGATCTGAGGCGGATCGCCGGTGCACGGCAGAGCCACCGTGCCGGAATTGGCCAAAAATGGGTCCTGAGACTGATTTTGGATTTTTTGGAACATTTATAAGTACTTATAGCGCGTTTTAATTTCCGAAGAAAAATTTAGAGAACCGAGAACCGCCAGTAAGCGCAATCAACAGTTTAGCTTTTCGAGTATCAAATTGAGTAAGAATCACTTACTTTATTCTCTGTTATAGAATTGAAATCAAATTAAAATCAATACAGTGTTTTGTGCAATATAGAAAATATTCATAATTAATTACGGGTTACTAATGAAGGCAGAACTGGAAATTATCTACTGTTGTTTTTGTTAATTGTTTTTAGGGTTTGAATGCATGATAGTATTTGATTGATTGATTTTATAGTTTTGCATGCATGTATTGTTTGTTTTATATGATTACGGTTGAATTGGGGAATTGGAGGCGAAGGGTAGACGGAAAATTTTGTGATTAAGTGAATAGATGAAAACGACAGCCTTACTGGATATTTTGGGAGCTGGTGAACGGATTGAATACATAGGAAACTCTACCGTGAACATTGTCTCATACCGGACGGGGTATTGAGACTTGATAATTTGACGCTCATACCGGATGGGGTATGAGGACGGCTCATTTCATCCTTATACCGGACGGAATATTGAGGTTTAGTAATTTAGCGCTCATATCGGACGGGATATGGAGACGGTCCGCTAATTGAGAATATTAAAGAAAATGGTTCACGCATAGTGGGGACATCTCTATGAACCCGCATGGATGCCAGCAGGTTGATGAAAATGAGCAGTTGTTGTTTTGATTAATTGAATATAAAATTATAATATATGCATGTTACCGATTGCATATGAATCATGATAAATGTTATATTATTATTTTTATAGGTTGTTTTCGTAAATTTCACTACGGTAAGTGGATGGTAAATGATTTTATTATTAGTAAATGAATTTGTTTAATTAAGTGCTCCATTAGTTGTTTTAATTTTTCTACCAACCTTCATTTTTTTGTCGGTAAATAACGTGATATTCTTAATAGGTTAGTATAACTCATTTTTTATTTAACAATTTCATATCAAAAGAATCAAGATGCAGAGTCTGATCTACAAAAGAGTTGCGAGTAGAATGTTAGTTTTATTTATTTTGCGCTTATTTTCTTATTTTTTATATTTTTTTTAAAATGGTAATTCTTATAACACTATTCGGTACTTTAAATTATTGTGTAAAAAATGTAAATCTTAACTATTTATTTCGCTTCTCCGAGATCGTTACATACTAGTTAACTACCATATATACTTGTTGACTCAAATAGGGACACCTACAATATATTTGCATCAATAGCTAGGGTTCACCACGTTACAATTCTTAATTCTTCGAAGTTGTGAGGAGCACATTATTGTGGAGTTGCATGTTGTTAAGTCCTTGCTTAAGTCATTTTTAATTTACCTTGAGTTCAAATTAGCATTGACATTTATGGTTAGGGTGTTGGTCCTTATTGCTTTTCACTGTTTTAAGTAATTTATGGTCATACATTAAAAGGATGTTTTTGGTGATGCAGCTTGTATGGGAAGGGCTGGGTATTGGAGGACGGGTTCCAATAGGGACTTGGACCAGGTATTATCAGCTATAATTTGTATTTCAAATTCCATTGTTATGCTTTTCGATACCACTTCTACAAGGAGTGAATTAAGGCTGATGACTCATAAGGTTCTTGCTTGTTAAGTATGGTCCATGTGGTTTGTGTTTCTTACATCTATGAAAATGCAACAATTTCCAATACCTTCTTAATATAGCAATTACCTAGTAATATGGATTGCCAATCTCCCTGATTTTGCTTTTATGGTTCTGATTATTTTCCCAGCCCGTAAGTTTATCACTGGCACTCCATTCATTTTGAAGCAGTTTATGTTGCTTTAGACTATATTCAATGGAAATCACTTTGGTTGTGGAATTCATTTTAAAATCTATTCGTACTTTAATTATGTGGGTGAGAAAAATGATAAAAATTGTCTAGGAGCTCAAAGTTTATCATCTTGGGAGCATAAGCATTTGGTTTAATAAATTAGATTTTCAATTAAATTTCTATCAAGTTATTTATTATGCTAAACATAGCCCCATTTTTTTTTTCATTTAGGACAAATATGCTGTTAGACAAGAAACTATTGTGCTATTGTTAAAGACAGTTGAACTGGATGCTACATGCTAAAATAGTCGTTGCTCTCAGTTATCATAAATGTAACATCTGGACCACCTTAATATTAATAAGCTTAAGGTACTTGGTCCAAATTTGTTTTCCTTGCCTTCCCTCTAATCCTCCTAATTCTTGGTGATGCAGTGAAAATAGTAGATCCAGAATCCTTCTTGGTATAGGTGGCGGTCATTATGTACCCCGACATATGGATGTTGTACTGTAAGTTAACTGTCTTTAAAGCTTCTCGCTACCTGGCTTGTCATAACTATTTATAAGCTTGCACCTTGCCTGTTTCGATCAGTTTGGAAATGGTTTCACAGACTCAATTTTTTTTTATAGTTGATGAAATAGTTTCCATGTGCGTGTTAACACTGGAAACGGTTCTGTTTATGTATTCTCTTGCTATGATAACATGTGAAGTAGAGACTTGAGAAAAGACTTAGAGAAACAATGTTTAAAAAAGCTATAGCTATAGCTGTCTTCTGCCAGGAGTAAGAAGGCCTCTTCTTTCTTTTAAGAAAAATGATATTTCTAATTATTTATGATGATACAAGGAAGAAGCAAGAGTATGAAGGAGCTAAATAACTTTTGTTAGTTAGAACAACTGAAATTTGTTGTAGCAACAGTTGAAAGTGATTGGATCTTGAATATCTAACAGAACTAGAAGGGCAAAGCTGTTGATAGCTGCTAGCTGAGTAAAGATGCAAGCTTGATGGAATAACAAATCAGCTTCTTTGTTCTGAATATTCTTTTTCTCTGTTTGAGATCACCTGCACTGTCAAGGTTACAACTCAGTTTTATCATATGATTATGATGCTCAGCAAATAGGGCAGTATATACTTACAGAGCCCCAAGATTAATCCTAAAATGGAAGAAACTAAAAGATTTCTAGTTTAATAAGCTGTGCTTGTATTCTGTCACAAGTTTTATTTCATAAGTCAAATGGAAAGTCCAAACTTAAAATATATAACAACAATAATATGTGAAAGTAGCATAAAAATCCTAGTCTAAGTTGATAAACTGCGTTTGGTTCCGTTCTCATTTAATTTCTAGACAATCTCTAGTTATAATTTTTACGCAAGTGTTATGGATAATTAGAAGATTTTTTATCAGTCTCATATTGAATTCTCACTATCAAAGAATTCAAGGTGGGATTTTGACAATTTAAGTACAACAAATTATGCATGAGAAGACTAATATGAAAATTTAAATGAGGAATTGACTTGGAACTGAATAGGAATTGACCGAAAGCACAATCTTAAATAAATTTAAGGGAAAGAAAACCTTGATACTTTTGGAAGTCCTCAAACTTTGCTCTTGCTTCAGTTTGATACCAAACGTTCATTCAAATATCACCAGGAGAGACGGCGTTTGGGTTGGCCATATGCTTTCAGGATATTCATTGATTATGGAAGGTTCTGGCAAATCAAATGCGAAAGTGAATGGAGAGGATGTGGGTGGAAATTGGAGAGAAGCGATTAAAGTTGCATTTGTGACTACCAAAGCAGCCTTTCCGAGGGGAGAAGTTCTAGCACATATTGATAACAAGTGAGTCAAACATTAACCTTTTCTCACTCATCTAACATTTGCATCATCATGTTCAAAACATTGTTCTCATTTTTAATTTCTCCGCGTGTTTTTATGCTTGAGACAATTATAAATATAGAAAATTAAAATTAAAATTTTTTTCATATACTAAATAGAGCCTGACATTCTTGAGTATCATGTTTGGTAGCATATATTTTTGCAAGAAACTCTAGTATGTGAATTTTCTGTTGGAATTTCTCGGTACATTGGCGTTCAAAAGAGCGTAATCTTGTCAATGTTATTGCTGGTGATCTTTCTGGTAAACGTAGGAGTTTCAAGAGCTGGCAGAGAAATGCTGTAACAGAGTTCTTAGCAGAACAGAACATAAAGATAGGGAAGCCGGGTGACTTCGCGCCCTGCTAGAAGTAACTCTTGCTTGCTTCAGGTCAGTGATTTCGTTCTGCATGGCTCTACCTGCAACAATTTAGTCTTTATGATCATGGCAATATCAGCTCTTTTTAGTTGATCTGGTTTTCTAGCTCTTTTTAACTTGTTGGTACTGTTAGCACATTGTATCTACAGATACCATCAATACTTACTTTGTTTAATGACTTTTCGTTGCAATTCACTGTAGTGTCTAATTTATGATTCGATTGATATTTACATTATACATTGATGTGGCGTGGTAATTGTTGTTGATTCAAAAAATACAAATTCAACTTTAAATTAAAATTCTTACCCTTATAAAAAAATTTAGGTTATGAAATTAAATTAATTAACCATATGGAGTTACAAAAATATTAAATTAAATTTAGAATTATGCTAACTATTAAGAAAAAATATAATATTTTTTGTATTAAAAAAGCTATATTAGTTGTAATGTTTCTTTTATTTAAAAGCAAAAGAGGGTTTAATTATTGTAATTTTATAAATATATTAAAAAAATAATAAATTCTACGTTATTAATAATTTTTTAAAAAAAAATAACCTATTTAACAATTTTGTTTTTTTGTTTTTTTTATTAAGCGATCTAAATTGGTTTTTTATATAGTTTTAAGTTAATATCATATCCAATCTTATCCACTAAAAGTTGAAAACTTCTCTCCTTCCTTCTGGAGAAGTCCAGAAATGGAGTCCCAAGAACCGACACCCCTCATCTCTCTCTCTCTCTGTCCTTCCAGAAATTTCTTCTCTTTCCTTTAAATCATCAGCCTTTCTTTCGTTCATTACAGTATCCCCAGTCTTGTAACCTTACATAAACATCATCCAAGATTTATAAAGACAATGTATCATGCTATTTACCATCTGAACCTCCCTCTTCCTCCATCATCATCATCTTCAAACAACACCAGTTCTTCTGGTTTTCTGACTTCTCCAACTCCTATCCGTTCAAAAATCTTGTTCTCACCAAGCGCACAGAAGCATGGCAAAGTACTCCTCAGGGCCATGGCGGCTGGAAAGAACAAAGACAGCCTTGATCACTTGCAAAGGGCCAGCGGCAAGCACCGCCAACCTCCTCCTCAGCCCCAGAAAAGGGTAGCCCCTGTTGCGCCTATAGGTAATAGCACAACAACATGATCAAAACCCGTCCATGGAATTTTTTCTTTTATCTTCTTCCACTGATTATTTGAACTTGTTGCAGGACGGTGGGACAGGTTCCCAACGGCGAGGACAGTGCAACAGATGATGGAGACAATGGAGAGAATGATGGAAGATCCATTTCTGTACTCTTCGGGGAGGATGGGCATCGCCGGTGCCAAGCTTTACTGGTGGAGGGTATAGCAGAGGGAGGACGCCATGGGAGATAAAAGAAGGAGAAGGAGATTATAATATGAGATTTGACATGCCGGGGATGACTAATGACGAAGTGAAGGTATGGGTGGAGGAAAAAATTATAAAAGGTAAGGCATTTAAGCAACTTTTTCTAAATGCTAAAATGCAGTTGAGCATCTCATTCAAAAAAGGGAGGGGGGAGGGGGAGGACGAATAAGAAGAATGGTCAGCGAAGAGTTATGGAAGATACAAGAGCAGGATTGCTTTGCCGGAGAATGTTCAGTTTGAGAAGATAATTGCAGAGGTTAGAGATGGAGTGTTGTATATAACTATTCCTAAGCTTAATTCTACTGGTAGAGGTTTGGACGTTAATGTTCAATGAGAGCTCATTTTGCAGTTTGTTTTTCTTTTTCTTTGTCTTTTTTTTCACTTAATGAATTTTGAAAATGTATGGGGTTTATACTTTTACTCTGTAATTTTTCATAAAATTAGAATTTTTAAATAATAGATTCTGAAAATTTGATTCCCCCATTATATATGTCCATTAAATCCGCAAGGTCATCGTTTTAGTTGACTCATACAAACAGAACTCTGTTCTCTATACGTTTTGATTCCGTAAATGAAGCTTCTTCTCCATGTATTCATTCAAATGAAAGGGTAGACTTTTGAAACTTCCATGAAAGCTTCGTGGTCATGTCGTTTCCTTTCTTTTACCTAAATCCCATCCCATGTTAGAAAATTCTTGAATGCAAACCATTGAGAGCCAGACAAGTTTCATTATATTAATTTCAACCCCCATGGAGTTAACCTAATAGAATTCTAAATGCCGTGCTTCTTGGTATAACCAAGTTTTTCTCTTTACTTCTTTGAAAGTATAAGCCTGCAGACTACAAACATATACATATGTACGTGCATATATATATACGTGTGGTTAACTTTCTTCTTCTTCAACACCTATAGCCATGGCTGCTCTAACCTGCAAGTCTCTCCTTTTGCTTTTAGCATCTCTCGTTTTAGCTACCTCCACTCCCACCGCCACCGCCTTGAAACCCAAGGTGACCCAAATCCAGTTCTACATGCACGACATCGTGGGCGGTTCGAATCCGACAGCCATCCAGGTTGCCGGCAGGTCAAACTTCACGAGTCCAGACCCGATTGCAGACACTTTCGGGTCGGTTTTCGTTATAGATAATCCACTTACCGTCACACCCGACCCGAATTCAACTGTAGTCGGACGTGCTCAAGGGATATATGCAATGGCGTCGAAGGAAAACGAATTGAGCCTCCTCATGAGTCTGACTTGTTCCTTCACCGGCGGAGCTTATAATGGAAGCTCTTTCAGTGTTTTGGGCCGGAATCCGGTGATGAACGAAGAGAGAGAAATGCCGGTGGTCGGAGGGACGGGGATTTTCCGGCTTGCACGTGGGTATTGTTTAGCAAGAACGTCTTCGATCGATCAAATTGTTGCAGTGATCGGATATAATGTCACCTTGATACACTACTAGACGACTATTAACTTCACGTTCTCTATATATATACACACTTATATTACATGTATACACACACACACATATATATATATATATATATGAATAAATTTAATTGAATTTATTATATTTTTAAAGTAGGCGAAAGAACTTGTGTAACAGTTATAATTTTTTTTAACGATTACAAATTGGATTATTTTAAAGTTTATTTTGGCAATTATGATTTTAATTTAATTTAATTACCTTAATGATAATTCAAAAAGCTGTTGGCAACTATTAAACTCCACAAATTTCTCTTTTTTAAAAAAAAAAATGTATAAAATCATACTGTAACTCCCATTAGCAATCATGGGTTCACACTGTAACTCCCATTTTCTTGCATTTTATCTCCTTTCAAATTTAAATCCTATTTTCCATCTCCCTCACTCATAAACTGTCACAGAACTGTAAGAAAAAGAAAAAAAATAAGAACAAGAACTGCATTCCAAGAGTAAAAAGAGAATCATGTGTACTCCATGGACAATTCCAAGACTGGTAAGATGGCGGGTGAGAGACTGGGCTTCCTGCTTCTTGGCATGCAGGTTTCCTTTAGGTATAATTATAAAACTCTAAATAATAGATATATATATATATATATATAAATCACTAGTTAAGCTTTCACTGTAAATTTCCATGAAATGAATTACCAGACATCAAGTTAATAGCTTTCTTCTTCTTCTTCTTCTTCTTCTTCTTCTTCTTCTTCTTCTTCTTCTTTTTCTTCTTCTTCTTCTTCTTCTTCTTCTTCTTCTTTTTCTTCTTATTGTAGATGAGGAACCTGATACTAACCGCTCTGGTTCGCCTCAGTTGCCAATCAGAAACGTGGCGTTAAACATGAAAGATAGCAAGAAGATCGCTGAGAACTTATATCGGCGCCGAACGGGGAAGTCGAGTCGGACACGAGTCAGAAACAAAAATGTGAGGGAAGAAACAGGGAGTGATAACTCGAGCAGCTGGCCGCATTTTTCAGATGATGATTACATTGTCTTTTGCTTTGGGGAAGATGGAGCTTTTGATGTTTTAAAAGACGGAAAATCAACAGAGACATCATCTGTTCGCTACCCAAGTCGTACCAGTAGGAATTCAAGGCGTACCAATCGAAAGGTTACCTGCTTATATAGAAACATACATGAATACGTAAATACATAATATGTACAAATAATATGAGCTCTGTTTTGTTCTTACAGCTTAATTTTGGTAAAGGAGAAGTGGTAATTAGCAGGAGGTCTCATGGTTTTAGCTTCAGTAATCAGCAGGCAGAAGAGATTATCCCCGTTAACGAGGTACAATCAATCAATATTAATAAGAGATTAATTTGGAGAATTATTGTATTGTTAACAATAAAAAAAGGGTACTAATGATTGTGACAAATTACTGAAAGTTCTTGATTATTTTCCTATTTAAGGTTGAAGAAGAAGAAGAAGAAGAAGAAAGAATAGTGTACTTGGATACAGGTGGGAGAAGAAGATATGAGGTTGAAGAAGATGGAAAAGGTACGAGGGTATCAGAGGAATCAAGCGACTCTAATCAATCAGATGGAAGTACAGGCTCCTTTGCCTTTCCCATGTAGGTTCAATTTCTTTAACTTCAATATATATATATATATATATATATTATGAGTGTTTGAATACTTACTTGATGAAACATATACAGATTAGGATGGGAATGGATGGGCAGCCCTGCAAAAATGCCAAAAGCAGAAAGCCTGCTCTTAAGGAAGGAGAAGCTTCGCTCTTTAAGTTTTCACGGCTGTAGACCCTGAAATTTGGCTCTCCATCTTAATATTTTCCTTTTTAATTCTTCTGGTCAGGAAATTTCCCAAGAGATTATTTATTTGACAAGTTATTTGTTACAAAGTAATATTTACAAATTTCTTTTTAATAATAAATTAGGATATAAAATTTCAAAACCTTCTTTTTATTTTGATTCCCTAAAATCAAAATCAAGAAATTTATGCAAATAGTACTCTATGATTCCCTGAAAAGAATATGTAGTTGTAGCTTATGAGAGTGAATGGAAGCAAAGGTTTATTTTAAAAAACTTGTGAAACTGCAAAATCTCTGAAGCGGGTTAAGAAATCGCATGATTATGTTTTTGACTCGTAAAATGGGAATCCAACGAGGCTAAGATATACAAATCTAAAAGGACCTGATGTTTCGTCGTTGATTCAAAAGCAGAATCGATACAGCCACCAAGTTGCCGAAACGGGCACTTGGTTTAAACAAGCAGCATTAACCTCAATTTGTTAAACTACTGAACAAGATACTATTTATCATTTCTCGGCAAACACAATCTGCATGCATTTACATATCAAAGTATATCCAAAGACAAAAAATTGTAAGAAGAACAAACCCATAAACCATGGGATAAAAGGACATCGAAGTTGATTCACATACAATTACAAGAACCTTGAAGGAAGAAATATAAGAATAAGTTACAGTAGGTTTTGCAGTGTATAGATTTTGTATCAACAGATGAAGGAACTAGAGAATTAAGGCTATGTTTGAAACAAATTAACAAACTTTACAAAATTCATTTCAAAATGCACAATTAGTTCAATATGAGGGATGAAAATTCTATTAGAAGATAATATAATTGGTACTTTAGGGAATTCCTAGTGAAATTGAAATACTGCATTCAAAAATTCTTCAAATCTGATAGAATTTGAAATTTATTGCTCAAATTTCACCTGGGATTTTCAGGAAAATCAACTTTTATCATTTTAGATAGAATTTCACCCCCCTTATAATTGAACTAATAGTGAATTTCAAAAAGAATTCTTCAAAAATTTTCATTTGTTTCAAATTAGTCTAGATGCCTAATTCTACCAAAGGAGCTCATCAAATCCCAAACTGTAAAAGCCCATGCCTGGTGTTAATATACTAGGATCTGAAGACAAGTGACTGGAGATACAACCTTGCACTTGCTGCAGCAGCCAAAGATTCTTCATCTAGCCTTTCTCTTGCAGCAGCAAGAGCAGCAATATAGGCTTCTCTGGCTTCTTCCATTTTCCGCATCCCCTTTTCATCCAAATCATCCTGTTCAATCGATATGAATTGTTCAGAAATTAGGAGAACAAACAAGTAGCAGAAATTTGCAGACACAAAGCAAATGATTAACAGTTGAGAATTGTGATGTCCATTATGGCCTAAAACTAGAAGTAGTTCCACATGTACATATATCCAATGGACATCTATGCAATAGGTAAAATTGTTTGACTACTCCTCTCCTACTTGTCTAACAAGCAATGCTTCAAAAAGAAAGATAGAGTGCTAAAGAAAACACACATGTGGATATAAGTTTGGAGGTTTCAGTGTTTGAGCTTACAAGATAAGGAAGATGATCAAAACGGTAAGGCGTCACATCATAATTTTCAGAATATTTAGTTGAATTGTTCTTCATCAACCCTTCAAACAGCTGCATATACGAGGAAATGTCTCCTTGCATGGAGTTTAGCTCTTCCTGGAGCTTCTCTGCTTTCCTACGGGATGTCATTGCCTCCCACTGCATCTTCTCAAGTGCAGCTTGCTTGTCTGCAAGTTTAATCTGCAAAAAAAAAAGAAGACAAAAAAAAAGACAACAAAGGAAAACTACTTCAAATAATATCACAATATAATTGCAAAATAGAGCTCTCACTCCATAATGTATATGTTTATATACGCCTTGAAAATCGTATATAAGCTTGGATGTGAATGCATTTGCTTGTTCCTGTAGGTGCCTCGGTGTAAGGATGATTTGAGTGGGAAGGAAATACAGAGTCATGTAATCAGTGGACAGTTGTCCTTTAAGGTTGAAAGTAAGGCTAAGACATTTTATGTTTCCAAAACATGATTTTAACCATAAATGAAAACAGAGAAGAATCAAAATTCATTTCGACAAGGCAACTTAAGATTCCAAATTTGAGATTTTAACAACTTATTTTTTTGGAGGTTAGCTAGTTAATATTCTACAGAAGTATAACATAAAAATTGTGTGTACTATTTTTTTTCTTTATATTAGCCAAACAATAAAATCTCATCACAAATCTAAACAAGCAACTTTGCGCCACATTAACTTCTCTGTTTGAATTAAAATAAGTAAACCTTCTGCCACATTCTAGGAATCCACATAAATTAAGCACGTCAAAAGTATTCTATAAATAGGAATTTATATAAATTAAAGAAATGATACCGAAACAATTCCACGAATCCAAGGATATCTTCGATGTAAGAATGAACGATATGCTGCATCCATGGTATAAAAGAAAAAGTTTTAACTCACTAAAACAGCATAAAGCATACAGAAAAGGTACCTTTGCATCAGAGAGTTGACACTGTGTAGACCTAATCAAAGCGTCCTTTTCTGCCACTCGGTGTCTCAGTTCATCAAGCTTTGCATGGACACTATCCATCTGAACCTTTGAGATTTCTGCTAATCTCAGTAGTTCATCTTTCTCCACTAATTTCCTCCGCAGATCTTCCACTTGCTCCCTTAATGCAATTAACTCCTCCCTTTCAGCTGCCAAAGCCCTTGGTGAAATAGTTAACGGATCGCCATCTTGGTTGGTGCTGCCATTCTTACCTTGATCTTTATTTCCATGGTCCCTTTTCTTTTTTGCAAGAGTAGATTGAGCTGCACTCTTGCCCCTTGGATCATTAACCTTCAAGGTACAAGAGAGCATAATCAGCTGTTCTGGGATATACTCCATCAATAGAAGAACTCATGGATTAGGAAAAATGCAAAAATCAAAGAAAACCAGGATAGAATTTATGAAACAGAATAGTTATCATAATGAATTCTCTAATTCACAGGTAAGAGGAAATTACAAAAGATTAAAGAAAATACCATAACTGAATTCTTTGGTAGCCATGGGCTTTCTCCCCAATTTGAGAATCCCACTATACAGGAACCAATTGTTTAAATAATAATAATATGCATTAACATAGAGGTCCTCGTGCAACTTTGCAACACAGTAAACCAATATTATTTTATTGGTTACAAGAAGACTTAAACCACCCAAAAACCATATCTAAAGATACTACTAAGTGTTTACTTAAGCATTAAGAGCTTTCTATTTGGCACTTGACCATAGAACCAAAAATGCCGAATTCAATCATGCTTCTAAAGCATGAGCCGAAATTTCATCATGCTTAAACGACCAAGACTAACATGTACATCTATTTTCATATAATAATTTCTAAGTATATTAAGCATCCTAAGTTGTAAACCGAAAAGGAAGAACTCATCAGAAAAGAAAATTTGCTAAATCAGTGTCATGAAGACCTTTTAAAAGTCAAACCAAATAATAACATTGCAAGCAAATCTTCTTATCATCAACATCTATTAACACTAACTTAATGAACAGCTTAAAATTGGAAAAATATATAGAGATAATTGCTATCAAGTGTTGCTACAATGAGGATTTGCAAGCTCAATAACAATTCAGCAACTCGGAGTGATGAATTGCAGCAACTTTGCCAGGATGGATACCAAGTGAGTGATTTAAAATTTAGTTGTACCTACAGGACAATTGAGGTAGTGAAGCCTCGTGGCTATATGGTGCAAGGAAAACATAGCAACTCTAATTTCAACACACATTAATCCCCATATATTCATAGAACATGCAGAATCAGATAAATGATTGGACCAGAGGCAGGCCTATCTGCAGCCATCATTCTTTTAATAGAATAACCCTCTAATATGTAAACTATAATTTTATCATCAGAACTAGTAAAACCTATGTTCATTTTTCAAGTAAAGATTACATGTTTATATCCCATTTTCCATTGTAATTCATTTATGCTGTCTGAGAATTGGTATAAAATGCCTTGTCTGCATGCCAAAAGTCCTTGACTCCCAACATTGCCTAGAAACTTGATTGCCTAACATGAATTGACTTGGATGTTGTTTTCTTGGAGAATACTACTAATTACAGATCAACTTGTATCATGCAACACTAAAATAGAAATGGTACAAAATCCAGCCTCATCAGTACCACTTAATTGCAAATCCATAAAAGAGATATTTTCATTAAGTTACAATCATATAACGTCCATATCCAACATAATCAAACAAGTCTAACATTATCAAACTGAAAATAACATATAGATTCAGAATTTCAAGGTTAAAGTCTCTCACTTTTCGGGACAAAGATTCTCTTGAAGGAGTCTTGGTGTAAGACATGGAACCCCGCCTTGTAAATGAACTGCTTGCTTTCCGATGCTAACCAAATTAGAATCAGTTTATTAATAAAAAATTAATCAAAGAAGTTCGAAAAGATAAAGGAAATTGTCTGGTTAATTAACAAAGTCCTGCAAGAAAAAAACTTCAATCGGACAGACCTAAGTACCACCATTTCTTATGTTAAAAAAGAGTACCACCATTTCTAACTGGTTTCATTAATCAAATTGCGGATATAAAAGTAAACTTATTTCGAACCATTTTCCCAGTAACCAAATTCAAAATCAAACCACTGAGAAGGAAAATTGGAAAGAAAAAACATAAACTAAATAATTCAGCTCCTTCCTTTCTCTAATTTCCCACACCTCAAACAAGAAATGACAAGAAATTTCGCGAGAAAGAGAAAGAGAGTAAGTACGATGAGGGACTCGACGAGAGGGACTATCTCGACTAGGTCATTGAAGAGGACGCGATCCACGTTTCCGTTACCGGAAGAGTGAGAGTCAGCCGCATTAGCGAGCAAGGACTGAAGGCTACTGTGAGTCGGGGACGAGCTGTCGTCGCCGGAGAGCCAGGATTTCGGGTCCCCGAAACCCGAATTATCTTGTAAATCGACGAAATGCTGGGGATCGTACATTGCTCTTTCGAGTGAAGATCTAGCAAAATTCTTTGACTATTTCTCAAGGGATTTCAATTTTCCTTTTTTTGCAGAGAAAAAGTTGGTGTTACAGTGAAGCAGAAGACTTTTGATTTTTGAAACTGGTTCTTGGTTCTTTTCTCCGGACATGGATTATCAACGTCTGTAATTTGGAGGAATTATGTCGTAATTACCAACATACCCTTAACTTTTTCTTTTATTATTTTTTTGGGTTAAAAAATATTAATTTTTTTTCTTAAAAAAAATAATTTTTGAACTAAAAATTAGAAGATTAAATAATTTATTTTTGACTTAATTTATGAATAAAACCAAATCAAATACGAAAATCCACTCAAACTAAATCAATAAATTAATCTAATCATGAATTGATTTAAGGATAAATTATAATCCACCATAATAATTAACACAATTGATAAAGAATTTCGTTTTAATTTTAATTAAACGATTTAATTATTTTAAATAATAAGCTAAAATATGGTTAAGAATTATTTACAACTTTATGCCAAATTTAAATTTATTTTTTATGTTTTATAAACTTACATAAAAATATAACATTAACTTATCATAATCTTTTATAAATTATTTACAACCATTTTTATTTTAGAATTAGTTATAATAATTGAAAATTTGGATAAAATAATTAAATTAAAAACAATTTAAAATATTGGAATAATTTGTATAAAATTTTATATTACTTAAATATGTGTGACAGTTAATTTTTCATTGTGTAATATTTTATTACATATATATATATACAATAATCTTTATGCTAAATAGGTAAATATTATTCCAATTGAATGACAGGCCGGGCTTAGATTAGGCCCATTGGGCTTAATGAACGCAGCTAATATTTAACTTAATAATATTTCAATTATCTTTTATTTTTTTATCGTTTTATAATTAATTTATTATTTTTTTTTTATGAATATTACTATTATTTATTGCTCATCATTAAATTTTCTAATTTTATCATTAAACGGTGGTATAATAATATATATGAACTTGGTGAAATATTAATTGATGGATTCATCACTTGTATTATATTTTCTGGGTTTTGCATAACTTTGAAATGTTTTTTTTTTTTTTTCCCAATTTAAGTCACGATAGAGAGAAATATGGTAACCAGTCAAATCTCCATTGAAGAAGAAAATAACAACGAATGAATTCTACTTGTGGGTATTACTAGTTCTGTATTTTGGACTCATTTTGGAAATTTCAGTATCTTTTTCCCTTTTCCCCACACTTTCTCGGAAACCAAACAATGCATTTCTCTGTAGGTTATATTTACATGGAAATAACTGAGAGAGGGTAAGAACATATAACGCCTGTATCGAGGATCAGTTTTTATTTTATGGGTATTTAATATTTAGAACTGTATATTTATTAGATTACCTTTTTTTTAATTTTCAATTTAAATTAATTAAACACCTTCAAGCTGCACCGGTTTCTAGTTTCTTGTAGTAAATTCCTCCTTTCTGGGTTTGATGTTTACATCAGTTTGCGTTTAAATATTTGAATCTTTTTCTTTTTATTTCTGAAAATTTCAGAGCTTGAATCTGGACCATCACTTGCTAAAGGTAAGATTATCTGCTATTTATTTTGTTGGATTTATTTGTTGGTTCGTCTATGTTTTGATTTTTGTTGTTCATTAGGGTTGAGATTGAGGTCAGGTTGTTAGCATGTCATATGGGCTTGCCCTTTCTTTCTTTTGAAGCTTAACTCTGGAATCTTCTTTTCCCTCTGAATCCTCTGTTTGGTTGCCAAGAAAATGAGATGAAGTTGTGAAGGTAAAAGAAAAACGCATTAAAGTTTCATTACCCAATAATTGATTTGGTTCTTTTAGCCTAAAGAACCTCTAAGTGAATTCATTTCCTGAAGTATTTCAATTCCGGATTCACTGAGATCTTTGGGTAGAAAAGTTTCTTCTCAGTTGATGGCATAAAGTTCAGTTTAAACTTCATTTGGGAATTTTACCACTACATATCAGTTTGCTATTTGTTGGTTGATAGAAAGTCCTCGATATGAAATCTTACGTGAAGCTTTTAAGAAAATCGGTTTTACTCTTACCATTTAGCATGATACAAAAAAACATTTTAGTATTCAATATTCTATCTGCTGCCCCATTTCTATTAATTAAGTTT